ATACCGCAATACCGCAATACCGCAATACCGCAATACCGCAATACCGCAATACCGCAATACCGCAATAACTGTTGCGGTATAGCGGTATAAGCATTTTGATTTTGCCGCAAAATCAAATTCCCCACCAACTCAATGTCATTATTTCCAAATTTTTATTCATCTCTGTCAGAATATTCAAAAAAAGGTGGACATGTCAGAAGACACATAATGAGTATGAATGAAGTTTTTTTCGGTGGCGACGTTTGGTGTTTTCTTTTTCATTGGATACTCCTCATGACAAAATTTGATTGAACAGAAAAAAAATAAAGACAATTGACAGAATATAAAGAGCGATGAACATAGTAGTGTAATAGATTATATATCAGAAAGATTCATATAGATGGCCATATTTCCGTTCATTGAAAAAGTTGGTAGATGTTCACTCGAAGTGTGACTATAACATTTTGTTTTAGATTATCTCTTTTCAATCGAATCTTCCATTTTTTAAATTTTTAGATAATTTACAATATTCACATCAATTTTTTTTTTCCTAGTTAATACAAGTAAAAAACGAACAACACAACATATATCAGGAACTCAACCAAGCGCGCGAGTTATTGTCCAATTGTTCAGCAATTGATAAACCAGTAGAATGGTCGGCTCTTCTCAATAATGTCATAAAACTGGCAGTGAAATTAGCAGATATTGAAAAAGAATTGAAACAATTGGGACGTAAGTTCATTTCATACTCCATCTATTACGTTTGTTTTTATCTTATCCTTATTTCAGATGAACATGCAATTAATAATCATGGAACGTTACCATACTGAGAAATCGAGAAAAAGTTCATTCTCGAATTAATTTTTTTTTAACACGAGTTTTTTTTCTTCACTAAATATGGGTAAAATAAAAGCAAAAGAGAAATTAACGTACGAATTGAAAATTATTTATCGACAAACATAGTATACTTAATACTATTTTAATAAATCAATTATAAGTAATTGTCTACGTTTGTGTAACCATTACATCTACACAATAAGATGAAAATCGACATATTTCAACTGATTGAATGTTGCCACCTTAAATATTTGTATAGAAAAATTCGAAAAATGCAAAAGGAATAAGCTGATTCTGTTCACAAAATCGAAAGAAAATCGTATAAACACAAAAATAGATAATAGATAATAAATAACAATATGCACGTAATAATCA